ACAATGGATATACTTATATCTTTTTTTGTAGGACCCTTATGGAGATTAAAACAAATAATATTTATAAAATATCTATTACCACTGTCTCCCCTTTAAATCATACTGCTGCAGCTGTACACTTCCAGGGGAAGGTCCAGTGGGCCCAGCACAATGGACACAGCTCACCAAGGAAAACGTGAGGCTGAGTCTTACATTCAGAGCTCTGTATCTTACATTCTCTCCTGCTTGATTAAAGAATGAAATTTTCTGTCTTTCTTTACAGAGTTCTCTATCACTTGAAATTTCAAAGATTAAGCTTCCTGACTAAGAGTGAATCAGTTAAACAGCATCAGTAGTTGATATTTTTCAAATCTTCTCCTCAGCCCTCTGTCTTCTGGAAGTCATTGGCAGAAAAGGAAATTGAGTGAGTGAGTCGTATGGTATGCATGTCATCAAGACAATGCATCAGCTAGGATATGGAAGTTATTTACACAGTGTAATGCTCCCCTTGCTAGGAAGCCACTTAGGGTTCAAGAAGAGTAGAAAAATAGTGAGACCTGAAGATGACATGGCAAAAGCCTTTGACCTTGCCGGTGGGTGGGAGATGGGAGTCAACTGGCAGGAACTAAGAGCCCTGCTTCCAGCCCTGCTTCGAGGCCCCAGCTGGTTGCAATTTCTGAGCCTCATTCTCATTCTCGGCACCCGACAGCCAGAGCCTCTGTAGCTCCCTGAAGAACAGACGCAGGGTGGGGAGAGTGTTCACACCTCCAGGTGAGGAGAAAGCACACTCCGGGAACAGTGGAGCCATCAAAGTGCCTGACTTTTCTCAAAAGACTATGACCGTGCATGTGGGCACACGGTTTCAAGTTAAAGTTATAAAATAACAGTGTGATCCTCTGCAACTGAAGTTGCATACAGCTAATCTCGAAGACACAGGCCCTCATGAGGGTTCCCCTGAAATGTCCCATCAAGGGGGAACAAACACAGATCCACATTTTACCCCATGAGGAGAGAGAAGACTGCAGCATTCTTATGCATTTCCTCCTGCACGTGGCCTTACTGTACTAAAGCCACATCAGCTACACATTCTTACTCCTGCAGATCTTCACTAGTCTACTTGACAAATGATAGACTGTGAGACACACACAAGAGAGGCAAGATGCTCATTTTGAGTGAGTTGGGAAATACTTCGGTGTACAGTAGTTGAGATATTTAAAGAGACACTGAAGATTCAAATTTCAAATTTTACCATGTAGAGCTACTTGTTTTAAAATGACAAAGACTTAATGAGGCAAAGGATAAGAATTTTCTCAAGAGAGCAACTGGCTGTCCCTAGCTTATTGTGTTCACTGCCTGGGACCATGCAGTTAGGGACACAGGACACGGCACACCTCCACAGAGGTCAGGAGTCAAGGTTACAGCCAAGCGATGGCCTAACAATGAAAGTGGGCCTATGCTCAACCCTACTGAAAGATAAGGAAGGCTTCTGTTATCCCATGAGATAGCCAATCCACACACAGGTTTCTAGACCAGACCTGTTTGACCGGTTTGGTCCCGGAACCAGGAATCTAACTCCTGGGAAGGAAGAGTGATACCGACAAAGCAAATAAACATGGAAACTGCAGACTTTCTAAAGGTGTGCCTAAGTATTTCAACTTGAATGTTTTCTCCAAGACATTTTAATGGCGGCAAATGTGTAATGAGGCCCCTCCCACCTGAGTTGTCACTGCACCTGTAAATTTGCTCTTTCCCATGTCACCTCCAGGCAGTTCACATTGTTCTCCCATCAGGAGGGAGTGGGGCCTCCAGGGCCCCCTGGAAAGCCCTCCTTGTTGTCAAGGTGCTCTAGGTTACTAAGCAGTGCAGGTGGTGGGGGGAGCTGACTTTTAGGAGGGACCCTCAATCCACCCACAGACTTCCACCCTGGGGCCAGCGGCAGGCAAGTGTGGGCCTGACTCTGTCCTGTGCTTGACTCTTCCCTAATGCCCACTGGTATTTTCTGATTCATGTTGAGGTGTGTCCAGCTGTAAAGGGCTCAGGACTTAGCAAACGCCATCCCCGCCAGGAGCACACTGGAGAAGGCCTACTCCGGCAGGCTAGAAGGGTCTCATAGACTGTGATTAAGTCTAAGCCATCGGTCACTGTCTTGAAAGCCTTACAAGTACATGCAAGAGGCTGAACTAATTCCCTGAGCTTCTGAAAACCTCGTTTAGAGTTAAGCTCCCTTGTAAAGGCACTGCTTGACACCCTTCACCTTATACCTCTTTGCCTTGGTTCTCTGAGACTTAAAATTCTGAGACTTAAATTCTGTTTGGCAATCATTTGTAAATTAAGTGGTTTCTACTGGCTTCACACTTCTAAATTAATAATGATGTAATTGTTAACGATCACACTCATTCCCACTTAACTGAAGCTTTATGCCTTCTGCCATCTTCTCCCCATTTCTGTTACCTCCCACCTCTGGCATGCACCAGGCTACTTTCTGCTTCTGAGTTCCACTGTAGGTTTCCCCCGGGGAAAGTGAGAACATGTGGAATTCGTCTTCTTGTTTTAGATGTGTTTCAGTTAGCATGGTGTTCTCCAATTCCATCCATGTTGGTATGAATGAGGAAATTATTTTCTCTTTGAAGTTTGTATAGTATTTCACTGCATAGTGGAATAACATAATATCTAATACTTTTCATAACATAGTATTCCATAATATTCATATATATACATGTGTATATATATATTTCCATCTGTGGCCACGACCAACACATGGGCCAGGATCCACACTTGTCTAGAGTGAATATTGGTCCGATGAGGCTGGGAATAGCAAATCTCTCCAACATACTGAATTCAACTCTTTCAGGTAGATACCCAGAAAAGGGATCGCTGGATCATGAGATAGTTCTATTTTCAATTTTTGAAGGTCCTAATGGCTGCACTAACTCACATTCTTGCCAGCAGTGTGTACATCCCGGCCACAGGTGTCTGTGATAAGAGCTTCTAACAGGTGTGAGGCCCTTCTCCTGCTGGCCTTAGCTGGATCTCTCCGGTGACTGGCACTGGATGTGTCTTTACACACACACCTTGTTCTGAGCCGAGTGTGAGTTCGAGTCCCCGCCGTGCTCAGGGCAGGGTGGCGCCGCAGTGGGGCACGGACTGGTTCCCAGCTGTCCCTCCCCGAGGGGCCCCTTCCCCGCACGGCCCAGAGCTGCCTGTGTCCCCGGGACGCGGCGCCTGTGTCCGGCCCGGGCTCCGTCCGGTCCCCTCCGCTGAGCCGCTGGCTCCGGGCCTCGGAGGCGATTCCGGGTTTAGCGGCCGCAAGGACTCCGCGTGGTCAGGAGGAGCAGCCCAGGTGCGCGGCGGGCGGGGCCCGCGGACCCGAGAGGTGACTCCCGGCGGAAGTGGGGCGATCCGGGTGCGAGTCCGTGGAGGGCCCCGCAGCGCCGCAGGTTCGGCCGGCGCAGAGCAGGGGCGGCCGCCGCTCTTTGCCTTAAAAGGAGCCGCGGTCCGGGCCTGAAGCGCGCGGCAGGCCCGGCGCCCCCTGGCGGCGCCCTCGCAGCGCTGGGACCGGAGCCCGCGTCGAGGGGCGGGGCGGGGCCGCCCGAGCTGCGCCGCACGCGGGGCTCCGGCTCCAGAGCCCAGGCCGGGCGGGCGGGCGCGCGCTTCCCGGGCCCGGACACCTGCGGCCGGGAGGGAGCAGCAGCGCGCCCGGAGCTGTCCCCGCGGTCCGCGCCTGCCCGAGCGCGGCGCCCGGAGCCCCTCGCACCCACACCGGCACGGAGCAGGTAAAAGTGGGCAGCGGAGCCCGACGGGGCCGGGGCCCTCCGGGAAAGGCAGCCTGAGATCGGCGTCCTCCGGGCACCTGAGGGCGGCGGGGCGCCGAGCCTGGGGAAGCGGGACGAAGTGACTTCCGAGAATTAGCAGAGCCGGGGCAGCCCGGGTGCCGATGGGCTCCCCGCGCTGTGCGCCCCGGCCGGGCCTCGGCCGCGCGGACCCGCGAGCCGCCCAGGGTCCTTTCCACCCCCGCCGCCTTCTTTATTGGGTGGGAGGCAGAGCAGAAAGCCACGCAACAGTGATTAGCATCATTGTTAGCTGTACAGTGCATTCCTAGATGGAACTGTCACGCTGTTTTATTGTAAGTTACAGTAGCTTCAACTCCACGAGGTTTCTTTGGTGGTCCTGAATTTGTTTCCTGCTGTGTGGCGCTGGAGCTACCGTAGGGTTGTCCTAACACATCACCTGGCCTCCCTTGTTATTCAGACGTTAGTTAGTAGCATGTACCAGTTTTATGGCTACAGTCTCAAGCAGTAGTACTTGTCTCTTTGATGCATGGCTTGGGGCTTGACAGCCCACTTTCGGGTTGATTTATTTAACATATGCATTGCTGGAGACAGGCTCATGGGTTACTCACCACTAGGTCATTGGCTCGAATCTGGCACGAGGCCATGGTTACCTCATCTGCATCTCCGAGCAGCTGCCTGATCATCTGCATAAATTGGCAGATAACCGATTCAAGTGATTTTCCTGCTCCTGGATTTAAGCACAGAAAAACCGCTTCAGAGGCAAAGGCAGTAACTTGGAGAGAGCTACGGGCGCCGAGCGGAGGGAGGCGGTGGGTACCACGAAGGTCCCCCTGGGCTCCCGGCTGTCCTATGGGGGGTACCCAGCAACACCCTGTTGCTACCGCTCCCAAGTTATTTTAGTGGAATGACCTTCGAGAGAGAAAATCAGATAAATCTTTGGGTTTTCTTCTGGGAATCAGGAAGTTTTTCTTGACTGTTTTGTTCTGCTGTGGAGTTAATACTGTTTCGCCGGAAGATAAACAGTGCTCTTCGTGCGAGGAGTCCAGAAGCAAATAAAATCTAATTTGCAAATCCGAGAAGCAAAGTTACAGCACCTCCTACTGTTTGTCTTGCAGTAAATTCAAGTGCAGTCTTTGGGGATTAGATGGTTCCGTCTGGGTTGCTGTTTTTATTGTTTAACTCCTACAGTGTGAAATAAGATATAACAAGCTTGTTATCTCTCTTTTAAAGGTGGTTTCTCTTGGATATTAACTTTCCAGTCTGAAGAAATGGCATCCCGGGCAATCTGCGTGTTGGTTGGAGTGTTTATTTGTTCTGTCTGCGTGAAAGGATCGTCCCAACCCCAAGCCAGAGTTTATTTAACGTTTGATGGTAAGAGCTGATCAAAACTTTTGGGGAAATGTTATTTGCGATCTTATTTCTCTTTCTTATCTAGATTCAAAGTTAAGAAATTAAAGATGGTAAGATATTACTGAGGTTGATTTTAAAAGATGAATGGAGTGCTCTGTGGATGACATGACTATCTGAAAGTTGGCTAATAAGCAAAAGGCTCTGCTGCTTTGGTAGCAGTATTGAGGAGAATGTTGGAAGTGTGTGCTGCTTGTTTCTCATATGGTGCTTTGGTGTCTGACTTGGGTGCTTTAGAAAGTGATGAAGAGGCTCAAAGCTTAGTATTTTTGATCTGACCACTCCCCCAGGGAGGTTCACAAACATACACTTTCTGTGAATGCTCGGCAGCAGGAAAAGCTCGGGAGGTTAAATTATTGAAATATTCTACCAATAAATTTGAGACATTGGCTTTCCAATTGGTTACTCCATGTGTTATTCTGATGGTATTTCTTCCATCTCCACAAGGATTTCCTGAGGAGGGCATAGTGTTGTAATCCATGGAAGAGAACCAAAGAGAAGAGTTGGAAACATGCTTTGTATTGTTTGGTGCACAGATGTTGTCTTTGGAAGCTTGGGGGGACGTTGCCATTTCAAATGTTCACGTATGGGACAGGTGACATTGCTCTGAGGGAATGGATCACCAGGTCGGTGGATGAGCTTTCCTGGCTGGGATGACTTACAGAAGGGAGGTCGGGCCAGTCAGGAAACCCATTCTAACTGGGCAAATGGAATGAGGAGAGGGTGAGGATGCCAGCTTGCTGATGAAGGTCACTTCCATTTCTATTGCAGCTCCTCATTCTGTGGGCACGAATCTCAGCGTCCGTGCACATATTCTATTTTCATTTGGTGAACAGTACACTCTCAGGTGAAATTCCTCATTATTACCAGTTTCAAACAACAGTGTGACTGACACTGCTTGGTCAAATGCCGACCTTCTACGCTTTCTTTCTGCATTACCAAGCGCTTTCTCCAAGGTCATCGTAAGCCCTGGGGGCAACATTTAGAACCTGGAGTGTGTGAGCTTCTCTTCACTTCTGTAGCCTGCGAGCCAGGCATTCCCCTTAGCACCACAGTCATTGCCAGTAAGTTGTGTGGAATGGAAAAGAAGCTGTTGAGGGCCCATTCATCTTTCTTACTTACTGCAACATCTTGCAGTCAGCTCATACTTACTTCCGAGTTGGGAACTATGAGCTATCAAGTAAGAATAAGAAAAGGCGTTAGGGAGAACTTCAGTTGCCCACCTATTTTCTGTATTTCTCCTAGTAAAGGTAGATGGAGCGATCTAATAAATTAAATGTCCAACTCTCTTCTCTCTTCTACTACATCACAACTCACTCAAACGTTTAATGTAAGTTTTTAGCAGCAAGCAAGTCACTAGAGATAACTCAGCATGTCTGAACTTGAAAAGATAACTACAATTTGTATTGTACACTAAGTAATACAATCAAAATCCAGCGTTGTGTAGGACAGTGACTACAGCATTGAAATGACCAGCAGTTTTGTTAGACTCCTAAAATACTGCACATCTGATATTTTAAATGCTCTCAAATTCAAAGCAAGTTCTTACAAAATAAAATTTACCTTGATTTGTAAGCTATGTACACTATGGCATGATAAGATAAACTGCTGATCGAAAAGTTCTGCAGTTCCTGCTATTTTGTCCTTTTCAACAGTGACTCTTAAATACTTAATGAGTTAGAATATCGAGTAACTTAAGTACTGTAGTATTTTAAAGAAGTATATCAACAAATAGAATAATTTTAATAAAACCTCCTAATTTCTAAGTTAGCAACTTGTTACAAACTCCTAAACTGAACAAGTATGTACTAAAGAAGGTATCATAACAGAACTGCCTTGAACAAAAGCAACTGTTAAAATGCACAGATTTAAGCCATTAATTCAAAGTCATTTTCTTAAGACATGTCACTGCATACCTGCTCAATATGCTGTTTTCTGTTTCTTAGTATCTGAGGTTTTTATCCATCAAATAATGACTTAGTATCATACCAATCAGGTTCCTAAGTTTCCTCTGAAATGGTTTATTCGTGACATCAAAATGTGAGCTATGTACAGGGTTGAAGTGTACACAATGTGTATTCATTTAAACAAATACAGAAATATAATTTATTTTATATTTCAAAACTCTGGCACTGTTTCTTAATGAAAAAAATCAGGAGTTAGAAGTTGTTTTGGAGGAAATTGAAGTGATTCCAAGCTATGGCAGGCGGAAGCCAGTTCCGCCCCTCTGTAATTTCTCCAGGAAGCGCCTGCTCTCTGCCCGTTGCCTGGCCACCTGGCGGGCCCATCTTTCGTCTTCCCTCTGGCTGTAAGCTGGCCCTGCGCCTCTTTCTTTCTGGGTAGAGCTTTACAAGAATCTGTTCAGTCTTGTCTGCTCCCAGTCCCCGTCAGTTTAAAGGTGTGTGAGACAGGAGGTTTCTTTCATGGCTGCATTCCATGCCTTCTCCTGAGGGGAGCAGTGATTTGCAGATTTCCCTTCCCCACTGACCTCGGGCAAGGTCAGGCAGATGTCACTGGTCCTGGGCCTGAATGTGCTTCACAGGACCCAAATTAGTTACCTTTGTGTGAGCAGCATCTTCCAGTTAAGAAAATGGTGACTTCTAACATCTTCTTTATAATTCTTATTTTAGGGTGTATAGTTATTCAAATGCATATAAACTTCCTGTCAATGCTCTTAATGCTCAATCTTTGCTGAAGAATCATACAATACATTGACAAATTCACGTTTGACATTGACATTGCATTTATTTATTTTTATTTTACTACTACACGTTTCAGTAAATAACGCGTACACTTACCATGGAGCATCGGTCCATGTCCGTGACACACCTTCACTCTGTTTCTATCTTGGTCCCTCACCTTCCCACTCCTTCCTGCTCCATGCAGCTCTTGGTCCTCTTCCGCTTTGGAGAAGCTTTATTTCCATGTTTTTCTTTCTTTTTTTCATCCCCTTTCCTCCCTTCCTTCCTCCTCCTTTCAACTCTTGTTCCCCTCCCCATTTGAAAAAAATCTTGCTACTTCTTATCATCTATGATTTATGTTGTTTATTTATGTTTTGGGTTGCTCATATAAGAGAAACCATGAAATACTTAAGCTTGTGTGTCTGATTTATTTCACTGAACATTACGGTCTCAAGTTGTATCTTTTTACTTACGATGCTTCAAGTTTATCCTTCTTTATGGCAGAGGAGTACTCCACTGTGTGTAAATATGAAGTTTTCTTTGTCCATTCATCAGTTCAAGGACGTACAGGCCTCTTCTAAGATTTAACTGTTACAAATTGTACTGCTATAAACATGGGTATGCAGGTATCCTGTAAAATAATGACTTTAACTCTTTTGGGAAGATACCTAGATACCTAGACTTTGCCTTTTTCCAGCAGAAAAGATCTTTGGAATCTAGAAGGATTATAAGAAAAGAGAAAGCTACCTTTGTTCAATAGATGAACCTTTTTTTTTTTACTTGATAATATGCTAGGAAAAGGTTGGTGAAGAGGTCCAGGCTTTATCCAGTAGAGATATTGGCTTACATTATTTTATAAAGTCAGGAGTAACTACTCGATATCCTGGTGAAAGTTATCAGTTGCATGTCATCTTTAAGAAAAGGTTTCTGAACTTCAGGCACATAAAATATCTACATTTGCTTCTGTATAAAATATGATTACAGCACTAAGTAAGTTAATGTTGCTCCTATTTAAAGTAGAGTAAATTCTTTAAAAATATTAAGATAATTTTTTCAACTCATAATTCTGATTTGCGAATCAAAGGTGATCAATTTATTGAAATTAATTTACTCCTAATATTTCCCCATTATCCTGTCTATATCTGTAGGATCTGTAGTAGTGTTCTTTGTTTCATTTCTGGTATTGATAACTTAGCTACACCCTTTATGTCTTGATCAGCTTGGTTAAATGTTTATGCATTGTATTGATCTCTGAATAATCATCTTTGGGTTTTATTATTTTCCCTAATATTATATTTAATATTTCATTGATTTATGCTCTAAAATTCATATTATCTCATTTCTTCTTGCTTCATGTTTATCTGCGCTTTGTTGGAACTTCTTAGAATGGATGCATAGATCAGTAATTTCAGATCTTTCTGCTAATACAACTATTGTACTATAGATTTTTCTTAAAATGTTGCTTTAGCAGTCTACTACAGATTTTGATAAAATATATTGTGATTTCCATTTAGTTCAAATTTTTTTCTAAAGCTCTGCCATTTTTTTATATTTGGGTTATCTAGAAAGATGTTAGTAATTTATCAACCTTTGGATATTTCTCATAACTCTCTGATCTTTATCCCTGGTTTAATTCATTGTCAATGAATGTATATTGCATGACTGTAATTCTTTAAAATTTTAAACTTATTTTATGATCCAGAATGCAGCTATATTGGAAAGAATGTATATTTTTGTACACTTGAATGTATATTTTTATTGCATAGTGTTCAAAGACAGTCAGACTTGGTCAGTTAATAATATTTCTATGGCTTGTCTGATTTGGTATTGACTTGTTCTTCCAGTTGCTGACAGAAGAGGTTGAATCTTCAAATATAATTTTGGCATTTTTTATTTGTCCTTCACCTGCTATCAGTTTTTGCTTCATGTTTTTGAATTCTTACTAGTATATACTGATGTGTTTAGAAGTGTTACACCAGCTTGGTGTAGTGGTGCATTCCTATAATGCCATCACTCTGGGAGGCTGAGGCAAGACCATTGAAAATTTGAGATCATCCTGGGGAACTCAACCACTTAATGAGACCCTGCTTTTGAATAAAAAAGGGCTGGGCATGTGGCTCAGAGAGATGGTTCTAGGTTCAATTTCTAGTAGCATTAAAAAAAAGAGAAAGAAGTCTTATGATGCCTCCTAGTAAACTTACTACTTTCCTATTATTAAATATTATTGAGGGCCGGGAATTTAGCTCAGTGGTTCTGCTGCCTGCCTTGCAAGTGGAAGGACCT